ACTAGATGAGGGAAAGACCCATGCTCCTAGATTGGCAGAATTAACATTGTGAAAATGGCTATGCTGTTAAAATTAATCTTCATATTTAATGCAATATCTGCCAAAATTCCAATGTCATATTTCTCAGATCTAGAACAAACAATTCAAGAGTTCATATGGAACCACCAAAGACCATGAACACTCAAAGCAATCCCAAGGATAAGAAGATAAAGTTGGAAGTTATCACCTCAAATTATACCATAGAGTTGTAGTGATAAAGGTAGTCTGGTACTGGCATAAAAACAGACCATTAGACCAATGCAGCAGAATAGCAACTTAGAAATAAACTGACAAAACTATAACTATCTAATTCTTGACAACAGAGGCAAAAACCTACATTGGACAAAGGAGCCTATGCAACAAATGGTACTGGCAAAGCTTGGTATCTACCTTCAGAAGAATAAAATTAGATTCATATTTTTTCCTATCACAGATGGGCCTACATGAAACTAAAGGTTTTTACACAGCAAAAGAGACTGTCAACAGAGCACACAGACAGGGCAGAGAATGGGAGAAAATCTTTGCCAGCTATACATCAGACAAGGGGCTAATACCCAGAATTACAAAGAACTGCTGAAATTAAATACCAAGGAAATAAAACTACCAGTGAACAAATGGGATAACAAATTGAATAGACAGTTTTCAAATAAAGAAATACAAATGGCCACCAACTATTTTTTTAAAGTACTCAACATCCTTAGTCATCAGAGAAAACCAAATTAAAACTACTCAGAGACACCACCTCACCCCAACCAGAATGGCTATCATCAAGAAATCTAACAGCAAATGTTGAAGAGGATGTGGAGAAAGAGGAGTCCTTATTCACTGCTAATGGCAATGTAAATTAGTACAGCCATTATGGAAATCAGTTTGGAGGTTGTTCAAAAACCTAAAAACAGAACTAACATATGGTCCAGTTACTCAGTGCTAGGCATATGCCCAAAACTCTATACTTTACCTTAGAGATATTTATATCCCTATATTTATTACTGCTCTACTCATTATAGCAAGGAAATGGAAACAACCTAGTTGTCCATCAATGAACAAATGGATAATGAAAATCTTGGATAAATATGAATATTATTCAGCTCTAAAAAAATGAAATCACAAAATTTTCAGGAAAATGGATGGACCTAGAATACATAATATTAAGTGAAGTCATCCAAACTCAGAGAAAATAATCTATGTGTTCTCTTTTATATTCAGATCCTAACTTATGATATATATATGTAAAGAACTGCATGTGTGTATACTATAACATGTAAGAAGGTTAAGAAGTGAGGGTAATTAAACAGGCATACTTTTTAATATATCTTATATGTAGTATATATAAAATACCACATATAGTATACTTAGTCCTTCAAATACTCTCTCAAGTTATAGCACATTTTCAAAGCAAACTAAGTCCTTCAGTGGGCAGTACCCACATGTGATTCCATAAGGGGCTGTGTCCTTAGCAAATCTAAATTTTCAGTTATGTTATTCATTATTGGAATATTTCTATACCCTATGGATTTTGTAAGTGCTAATAAACTTAAGTGTATTTTTAATGATTTTTGTATTCTAAACACTGAGGTCCATAAGATGCTTCCAAAAAGTCAAATGCAAACTTGGAAAAAATACTGCATGACAGCACTCTATGTGGAATTACCCACACTCAAATAGCACATAGGGATTAAAAAAAAAAAAAAAAAAACTTGGATCAAAACCTTAAACACCAATAACAGAAATAGACTCAAAGACCAAATTATGCTAAAAAAGAATAAGGTACAAGATGTTCCTGAAAGACCATAAAGAAGTGAAATGTAATAAATTGCACTGAAGAAACAAGAAAATCAAACACTCTCATGTTTTCATGAAAATAAAGTAAATTATGTTGAAATGGAAGATAGTATGACTCAACATAAAGAGAGCCAGGAAGCAAAAAATACAACAAATATTTAAAGCTGTGGTCCAGAAGGACTTCGTGAAGCTTTTAAAAGAAGACAAAGTTCTACATGTTAGAAAGGCCATGAGGTACCAGAGGATACTCTAGTGAAACTAATAGACTTCAAAGGTAAATTTTAAAACCCCCAGGCTTGCAACAAAATGAACAAGTCATTTACAGAAACCAGAGCAGTCAGCTCCCAGATTTCCCAGAAACATGTGTTGGTCAGTGTTGTCAGCTTGAGAGACCAGAATCCCCTGGGGGACAAGCCTTGTGCACACCTATGAGGAAGTGTGTGGAGATGTGAAGCTGAGCATCTGGGCATGCCAGGGAATTATCTGGATCAGGTTAACTGAGGTGGGAAGTCCCACCCACTGTGGAAAGAACCATTTCCTGGGCTGGAATCCTGGACCATATAAAAAGGGAAAGTGATATGAGATGACCCTAAGAGGGAGAGCTTTATCACCCTCTCCAAGTCTTGAGGAAAATCATAGAAGAGGAAATGGAAAGAATAAAAGAGCCAGGGGATGGGGAGATGTGAAGCCAAGAAGTCTTGTGAACATGACATATCTTTTGAACTCATGAGCTCATTACATCTGTATTATATGCAAAAGACCTGCACATGATTGGGCCTATCAACATTTCATCATGGATGGGGGAGGCTAAGGGACTATTGGCAGTTAAGGGTTGTTGGGGGAAAGATGTCATTTTCTTCAGTGCTTTAGTTACTGATGTTACTCATGTTCCAGCAAGTAACCTCCCACCTACCATCATGTAAGAAACTATTTTCTTTTCATAAAACTAACAGCAGACTTCTCATACTCCCTTGTGAGACCACCCAGTGCTACAAAATGGGCCGTGAAGTTTTCCTGCTCACTGAAAGTAGAAAGCAAGTAGAGGGGCCAGTAAGTCCTGTGCCTGGATGAGCCAAGAAGAGGCTAGAGGCATTTGAGTGACAGTCTTCTAGTTCTACAGAATAGTACTAATTTCTCATGAACTGGAGAAATGGCTCATATAAAAAAATTTCTCCAAAGTTAACATTCTTTTATATATGGTGACAACTTGCTGTGTTTGACTATGTTCCTCAAATTTCCTGTATTGGAAACTTTAATCCACAAATTGAAATGTTAAGACATCACTATCAGTGGCTCCCCAGGGATCTTCCAGGCTTTCAGCACTGCATCGAGGATGGATAAATTTTCCAGCTTCATGGACTGAGCAGCCACTGTCTACTCTGCCTCTCCAGTGTGCTGATGGACATTGGACTATCTAGCCCTATCATGTAAGTTTGCCAGTCTTTGGAACTGCTTGTAGAGAGAATGTGTAAGAGTTTGTAGCTATGTCCTAGAGAAGTTGTAGAATGCTGTAAACAGACCTTAACAGGCCATTCTGGTGTGAATGTGGAAGACCAGAATGCTACAGAAGTGCAGATAGTAACAGCTGTGCTGATGAGGTTTCAGAAAGGAACAAGACTCTGCTGGAAAAGGATTGAACTACAGCCCATTCATACTACATTGCAGCAAGGCATCAGGCTATATTTTGCCCATGTGTTAAAATTTTTAGTGAAACTGAATTCTTTTGGTAGAGAAAATTTCAATACAGAATGGCATTCAGGTATGGAATGGATACCTCTCACTTACCTTCAATGGGTTTACAATGACAGAGAGCAGAAAGATATGAAAAATGTCCAAGTTTGGTGAGAAAAGGCCCTTAACTAAGTTTAAAGTTTTGAACAAGGCAGGTACTGATGAAATAGCTATAACTGTTAAGGAGATTAGCACCATTAAAGTGAAACCTCATGCTGTACGCTGGGACAACAAAAAAACAAGGTACTGGAGATATGGCTTCACCCACCAAAGGTTCCAGCTTGTCAAGAAGTAGTTGCTTGCCTGCCTGCCTTCACTTCTTCCTGGGCAAGTGCATCTATTGCTAGTCCATGCTGACACCAGATTCCAGCCTTTTTGGCCTTTCCATATGATTTGAATACCAGTGGCTCTCCAGGAATCTTCCAGACCTTCAGTGGCAGATAGGACTTCTGTAGAACCTGTCTTCACAGGCTGAGAAACTACCAGGTTCTGTGATTCTCCACTATGCAGACCATCACTGTTGGACTAATCAATACTTTTTCTGTAAGCTAATCTTGTCATCCAGAGAACGCTGCTTAATGTAAGAACTAAGACATCATTCTCAGTCCTCAAATATGTATGACAACCAGGGCACTTGTCCAGATTTACACCTGGGTAAGCAGCATCTTGTAGAAGAACAAGTGTCTGGGTCAGGGAAAACTGTCTCCATGAGCCATAGGCCCTCTGCCACTTAGCCAAACTAATGTTACAGATCTTCACATAAGGGTTGGCTGAACCCCATCACTGCAGGTATACCAAAGTGTGGTTTCACAGCTCAACAGCAGATTTATTTGAACTGTACCTTTTCACAGGGGTCATTGGCTTCAAATCCTCTCCCTCCTCTGCTTGCAAAGTACACCTGCGCTATGTAAACATAGGCACACAGTAGGCAAGACTCCAGAATGAACCCCACATCTCTGAAACAGATTCTCCTAATCTCCCCCCCAGCCCTGGGCACATCTCTGTACAGACCTCCCATGAGGTGCTCACACAAGAAACACCTGCTTCAGGCTGCCCTTCAGCATAATTATCTTTGCTCTAGTCTTCAGTTTTATTTCTGAGTCCTTACAAGCACCTTTTTCCTATGAATGCACCACCTTAAAAATCAGTTCCTATTGGGATTTTTGAAGAGGACAGTAACATGAAACATCCAGCAAGCTCTCTACCACTTTCTGACCCAATTCAACTCACATCATTCAGAACACTTGAATCATCCTTTGTACGATGAAGCTAATACAAGTAACAAATAGTAATGTGTTTTTATCTGAGCTGACAACATCTACACCAAAGTCTCTCCAATCACTAAAAGCATGAGTGTCCTAGTGTTTAGCAGTATGTATCAGAACTTTTTTAATTAAGCTTAGAAAATTGGTAGTTAAATGGTTACTTAAAATGAGTTTTTAAAATACCTGAAAAATTCCATGAAAGAGAATCCATACCCATGCTGCTCTGCAATCCCTGCACAAACAACGTTTGCAGATGCTCCAATCAGTGTGCCGTTACCTGGAATCAGAATTTTAAAAATAAAATAAAGTCCAGGTTCATCTCAGTGATAAGCTTCTGCTCTTTTCTGCTTGTCAGACACCTGAATACCATGGTTACAGTCACCATCCAAGTGATGGCTTTGTAAGTGTCTGGAAACACAAGCAAACTATCACCAGAAAATAAATTAATCCATTGTAAACAGCATGATTCCTTCACAGGTAGGATTATGGCAGCTCTATATTATGGGGGAGGGGGGAAGAAATGCTAAGGAGAATGGAAATGTCCCTTTGAGATCTTTTAGAGAAAATGCAAGCAAAGCTAACTGTCATGGGTGGCAATGTCCTTTCTAAACTGTTGGGGACCCCTGTTGTGAAGTAGTAGTCTCTCCATGTCCGGACAGCCCATGAGCTCGGTTTCATATGCAGAAGACTCCTTTTCATCAGGGTACCTTCCCAGCATCTTCCTGACTCGTCTTTTGAAGTAGCCGCCAAAGAAACAAGGCCTCCTGCTCTGGAAATGCCATGCTTTCCTGTGTGATTTTTCTGGCAGTCTGGCAGCCTGGCAGGAGCCTACTTCCATATGTAAATAGGGCATCTCACAAAGTACCTATCAGCTAAAGCTTTTCCCACTACCCCCACGGTATAAAAATGTCCTGGTTTTCTCTCAATATTGGAGCTGGATCACTAGGAACCAGAGCTGGGACACTGAGACTTGGAGCCGAGCAGAGACACTTAATAAAGAGCTGTAACATGGAAAGCTGAACCCTGTGTCTCACTGCCTACGATCCAGCCTCTCCAGGGGGCGCTATCCTTCTGTCATGGACTCATGGAGACCTAGCTTTAGCCGCCTCATACCTCTACTCGTGACCCGGCAGCTGACGGGTCCTGAACTCAGAGAGAGATTACACGGGTGAAATTAGGGCGGAACTCAGCCAGGCAAAGCCCCGGCAGCAGAGACTTTCAGCACTCAAGCATGACCAGACCCGCGGATCCTTCCAGGTGCGCGCAACGGAGAAGCCCGCTGGACCCGCCGCGTGCTTCCAGGTGCGCGCAGGGGCCCCGAGATCCCTGCGCACCCCATACTAAACAATGAAACAAAATCTGAGACATGAACAACCTCAGAAATGCAAACTCAGACATCTACCAGGTAACTCTTTTAGCAGATTGAAAAAGGGAAGGAAAGACTAGGCGAAACTGTATCACTTGGTTTTGTTCACCAAGGGCATTTCCTTCACGCAAATGTTTTCTGAGTAAGCCTTCTCTGTGCACATGAGAAGACATACTGTGTAAACAGTCATATAAACCAGCCCTCCTAGTATATGTGAAGAATACAACCAAAGCCATCCAATCAGATTGTTCCTTTCACCCCATCCACTATCACAAACACATACACTGGTTTATGGAAGAATAAATTTGCATGAACAAGTCCATGGGCCTCTTTTTTCTCCATAACTGTAACCATCAGTATTCAAGTGCATGACCCAGGTTCAGCTAAGTAGGTCAGTTCTAACATCAGTGCATAAACAGTTGAGCAATACATTCTTTCTTCTGAGGATTAGTGAGCAGCGGGTGCTACTTTGTGGGTGCCTAGAGTTTGCTGAACACAGGAGAGCAATGCTTCTGAGACAGGGAAACATAAATAACAGAGATGGAGGAGAACCAGTGCACCAGACATAAGCAATGATACAGAGGCTGAAATTGTTGCCATTGTGTCAGGGCTGAGTGATGACAAGCTCTGAACTTGAATCAGGCTTTCTGATTCTAGAGCAAGATCAGAGGGGCTGAGCTTAAGGCTGCCTGAGGCTTTCTGTGGAAAGGCACAGAGCATCTGAAGGGAGGGTCTAGGGCCAGTGGCAATGTACAAACCATGGTTTGTTGACTGCCCAAGATCACCTCCTCTGGGTATTACACTCAGATGTGTCCATCTTATCACCTGTCTACCTACAAGGTCCTGTTCTCAGGCCAAAGACCTGACAAATGAGACTCTATACACTTGCCAGGTGTGATAGTTGTTGTTGTCAACTTACAGAATCTAGAATCACCTGGGAGATAGGCTCCTGGGGACACCTGTGGGTTACTATGTTAATTATGTTGAGGGAAGGCCCACTCACTATAGGTATCACATCCCCTGGAGATATCTTAGAGTGCGTAAGTGGGAAAGGCTGAGCAACAGCATGAACTCACTGCTCTCTGCTTCCTGACTTCAGATATACTGTGACCAGCTGCTTCAAGCTCCTACTGTCTCAACTTCCCTGATGTGGTGGACTGTACTTTCAACTATGAGTCAGACTAAACCCTTTCTCCACTGAGTTATTTTGTCAGGTTCTTTTATCACAGAAACAGGAAAAGAAAGATGCCAAGCCCTTTTGCCTAACCATTATTTTTCATCATCTGACAATCTCTCACACAGGAGAGCAGATATTCCTCATCTGCTCCATGAAAGCACACTTCAGTGCCATGTTATCCTCTTCCCTAGACCCCCAAATACTTATAACTCCTAAACTCAATGAGAAGAGCTCCATTCAGAACAAAACAGAGATTGGCACATGATCTGAGTTCACACTGGGCAACATAGACATAGAACTTCCCAAGAGACAAATCTCTGGTCTGTAAGAGTGTTTTTAAGTTGGATTAATTTGGGTAGGAAGACCCGTCCTAACTGTGTGCAACACCATTCCATAGGCTAGGGTCTAAGACTGAATAAAAAGGAGAAAGCAAGCTGAGCACCAATAATCCTCTCTCTCGCTGCTTCCTGACTATGGACAAAGTGTGACCAGCTGCCTCCTGTACCTGATACCATACCTTTCTCACTATAACCTCGCCCCTGACTATAACCTCGAACTATGAGCCAAAATAAACTTTACACATCTCAAAATGCTGTTGTCAGATAATTTGTCACAGCAACAGGACAAGTAACCACTATGCTATTGCATAAAAGTCTATGTGGTAAATCGCCTTTATTGATTTACATATGTTGAACCATCCCTACATCTCTTCAATGAAGCCAACTTGATCATGGTGGATAATATTTTTGCTGTATCCTTGCAAGTATTTTATTGAGAATTTTTGTGCCTCAGATTTGTTCATCAGAGAGACTAGTCTATAATTTTCTTTTCATTGAGCATTTGTTTGGTTTTGGTATTAGAGTAATACTGGCTTCATAGAAGGAATTTGGAGGTGTTTCTTCTTTTGCTATTTTTAGGACTAATTTTAGTATTGGTATTAGTTCTTCGAAGGTTTGCTAGAATTTTGTGCCATATACATCTGGTTCTGAGCTCTTTTTAGTTGGAAGATTTTTCATTATTGTATCTATCTCATTGGTTGTTGTAGATCTGTTTAAATGATTTATGTAATTTTGATTTAATTTTGGTAGGCTATACATAACTAGAAATATCCATTTCTTTTAGATTTTTCTATTTTAATGGAATATAGATTTTGTGTCTGTGTGTGTCCCAAAGGTTTTGGTATGTTGTAATTTCATTTTCATTCAATTCTAAGAAATCTTTAATTTCTCCAATGATTCAATTTTCATTCAGTAATATGTTACTTAGTTACCACGTGTTTGTGTTCTTTTTCCCAACTTAATTGTTGGTGCTAGTTAGCTTTATTCGCTTGTGGTCAGATATAATATAAAATTATATCTCAATTTTTGTAAATTTGTGGAGACTTGCTTTTTGTCCTAATATGCAGTCAATTTTGGAGAAAGTTCCATGAACTGTTGAGAAGCAAGTGCACTCTTTGGTGTTTGGGTGGAATGTCCTTTAGATGTCTGTAAAGTCCACTTGATTTATGTTATTTAAGTCCAGGGTTTTTCTGTTTAGTTGTTGTCTGATTGACCTGTCTATTGGTGACAGTGGGGTATTGAAGTCACCCACTATCAGTGTGTTGCAGTCAATGTGAGATTTTTAGAGCTAATAAAGTTTCTTTTATGAAATTGTTAGGATGAAGTCTAAGTTGTAATGGAGACCCTAGGATATTGGAAATGCAGGACCATGGGACATCTGCCAAGGAAAGATGCAGACATGAAATGAAGTCAGCCTATGTGAGAGTCTATGTGTGCTGCAGGCAACAAAGTTAGAGGGATGGAGCTACCTAAGCCCTTTCAAGTCTGCCAATTTCATCACCAGTTCCAGATGCTGGACGTGAAGCTACAGGCTTTGGTATTTCCCAAAAAATGTTGGTCTTTCTTTGGTGCCATCAGTCCTTGTTATGCTCTGATCCTTTCATTTTGTAATGAGCATGTTCACTCTGTTCCATTGTATGTTGGAACTATGTAACTTTTTGTTTTCTTCTATAGGAGCTCACAGCTAAGAGATTGCCTTGAGTTGTAGATGAGATGTGAACTATGGACTTTTAAACTGTTGGAATTGTTAAAGACTACAGAGACTTTTGAAATTGGATATTTTGCATAATGGGATAAACATGAGACTTTGGGGACAAGGAATGGAACATTATGACTTAAAGTGATATGTTTGCCTACCAAGTTGACAAGGAGTAGAGTTATGATAGTTATTCTTAATTGATAAAATCTAAAATTAATTGGGAGGTGAGCCTCTGGATATGCCTATAGGGGATTATCTTCGTTGAGTTAATTGAGGTAGGAAGACCTGCTCACTGTGGGTGGCACCATTCCCTGGGCTGGGATCCTGGACTATACAAATGGGAAAAGGGAGCTAAGCAGCAGCATGAATTCATTACTCTCCTCTCTGCTTCTTGACTGCAGATGCAAGGTGACCAGATGTTTCAAGAGCCTGTTGTCTTGACTTCCTGCCATGATGGACTGAACCTTGAACTGTTGAGCCACAAGAAACTCTTTCTCCATTAAGTAGCTTTTGTCAGGGCATTTTATCACAGCAATGGGAAAAGAAACTAAGATAGTCAGACCAGTAATATTTACCTTTTTTGTTTTAACCTATCTAGTCAATGTCTCCTAGTTTATATATCAAAGTACATTTCCAATGCCATTTGAAAAAAATCCATTCAAAGTGTTCTTCAAGATGTTAAATTTTAAGGTAATGGATATTTACTTCTTCCTCTTGGAGTTTCAGTTTGGGTAATGAAAATAGCTCTAGAGACAGTGTTAATTACATTGCAAATGAGGTACATTACAAATGTATTTAATGACACTGAACTGTATGCTTCAATGTGATTAAAAGGGTAAATTTTATTTTAGGTATATTTAATCATAAACCTCAAGTCAATGAGAAAAAGCCCCCCATCAGAATTGGCATATAGTTAACACCTAGTACAAGCAGATGTCTGCTATGCCGGGAATAAGCATCTTCCAATGCCCGAAGCTACTAACTTAAAAAGAAATCAGTAATTTTTTTTTTGGGGTCTTTTTGAGACAGGGTCTCCCTGGAGCCCCAGCTGTCCTGGAACTCACTATGTAGACCGGGCTGGCCTTGAACTCATAGAGATCCGCCTGCCTCTGCCTCCCAAGTGTTGGGATTCCAGGCGTGCACCACCACGCCCAAGAACTCAATATTTATAACCTTATTGTTTGCTAATGCTGCATACCTGCTTCCCAAGTATGCTCAGCATCTAGCCCTACAGTAGGTTATTAATCTATATTAATCCATGCTAGCATCTCTCCTGGAGACTCCCCTCCCATCCACCCTTCATGTTTTAAAGAAATCAGAGAAGACTTTTTACCGTTTAAGATGCTACTGAGCACTCCCTCTTGAGGACGACCTTCTCTGACATTCCTGCTGCTTCTCTCTGACATCTGCATACGTTCAGGGACTTTCACTCTGATGGAATACACTCATCTCTGTAATTTTAGGTTAGGTGACTAGCTTCCCACTCTAGAGAACAATATCAGGGCAATATAGCAGACAGTTCATGGGTTTGAGTGAAAAAAAACCATATAAGGGATGAAGTTGCAAGTGTCCATTAATCCTGTTTCTATTGCCAGTGTTAATTACATCTATGAATAAAATTCATGTTGTTTTTCCTGGAGCTGTTTAATTTGTTTTTATTGATTTTTTTTTGTATTTCATACAGAACATCTCAAACAATTTTAATCATCTTTATACCCCCTCCAACCCCACTGGCACCATCCCATAACCCACCCCCTCTGGAACCCATATACTCTGTCATCTGTGTTAAAGCCTATTGTGTCAAAGTTAGTACCCCCAGAAATTCCCCAGTGCAAGTCCATCCACTGAGGTCTAGTCAGCCTGGCTAGAGTCCCTTGTTTTAGGAAGATCAGCTCTTCCTCACCTAGAAGTAATCAGCTGCCAATATTTCTTCAGCTAAGACTGAGGTCTGATGTTCATTTCCCCAGTTCTATGCTGGGTTTTCGTCTGCCTGAGTTTGCATGGGACTTTGTGTATGCTGACACCATTGCCATAGATCATATGAACAGGTTCCCAGGAACTTGTAGGACTCTGTTTCCATATGGCCATATACCTCCTCCCTGGCTTTTACAATCTTTCTGTCCCCTCTCAGACAGAAGAAATTTTAGGAATTTTGAACTCTTGTAAGAGTTTCATCATCAATCACAACATTAGATAATTAGCTTTCTCCTGAAACCATAGAAGCTTCACTGGATGATATTAATCCCCCTTCACAAATAAGGAGATAAACTAACCAGAAAGTTATTGATTCAATGGTCAGAGATAAGCCAAAGAACAAAGAAAGCTAGATTATCTAGACAAGCCTGGAGGTAATAAGAAAAAACTTTTAATATATCTGGTATGCTTATCTAAGATTCTCCACAATCCTCCTGTGTTCCCACAGTGATTAAGCTGTCTAACTGTGAGAAGGACTCTACCTTACCTCCCTTGAAGACAACCATAGCCAAAGCCCTCATGTTTAGTCACCAGAGATCACTTTCATCTGACACTTTCTAATTCACTTTGCAGTTTGTCTAAACTTCAATCCCAGCACCAATATATTATCTTTCATCTTTCTGCTTTTAGGTAGAAGTATTTACCTATTAGGCTCATCATCCACTGCTTCACCCCATTACAGAGAGGAGGCGTGACAAAAAGTGAAAGAGAACTGCCACTGCAGTCTTCTGATATGGACACTGTGGTCCTCATGGGCACAGAGTGGGAACACGTTAGCTTTGAAGTATCAGTAGTGATTGTCCTCAGGCCATGGGCTTGGAATGCCACAGGCAGTTCTTCAGAGGAAGTTACAGGCTTTACAGAGGAACTACAGAGGTCCAAAATTGTTCCTAAGTTGAAGATATGTTATCCTCAGAAAATCATAAGGGGCATACGGCCCATACGGCACCTAACCATCATCTGTAACTCCAGTTCCTTAATTTATCTTCAATTTAGTAACTACCAACTGATGCTTTGGCTGGGCCACAGGGTCTCTCCCACAGTGAAATCAGCACCCTTACCTCCCAGGCAAGCACCAAGGGCCAGGGCATACATGAGTGGTAGTGCAGGCAAGCTAATTTCAGGGTCTCGGCTCAGGTTCAAGAGTACAGGAATCTGTGGAGGAAAGAGACATTGACACCACATGTGATAAAATCTTGTAAGAGCTGCATTTTGAGACTGACTTACAGAGCTCAAGAAGTTTTACTTATTTTATTGTTATGTGTTGGGGGTCATGATGAGGGGGTATCTCAAGGCACATGTGTGGAAGTCAGAGAATTTTGTGGAGTTGATTCTGTCCTTCCACCTTCACATGGGTCCCAAGGATAGAACTCAGTTGTCAGGCTTACATACTTGGGCAGCAAGCACTTTCCCTGCTGAGCTATCCCTCTGGCCTTCAGAGAGTTTTTTTTAATGGTCAACTGCCAAAAAATAAAATAAAATAAATAATAAAGAAGTATAAGACACATGGAAGGAAACCAAAGAAAACTTTGGCATCCACAAAACCTGAGTTTGAACCCATCTGTCTGTATCTCATTCTATCCACATGACTACCTGGTTTCCATTGTCCCCAAACTGCTGCTGTGGATCTTAACAGATAAAGTCATATACAGTCCAACACGGTGCCTAAGAATGAAACAATACAGCCAGTGTTTATGAAACCCTGTGAGTCCTGTGCTGTTTATGCAGTCATCATCTCAGAGAATTCTAAATCACTCCTCAAATGTATCTGTCACCTTCTGTTGATATATCAAGACTGACGAGATGGCCTTCAGAGAGTGGATAAAGGTGCTCGTTGCCAGGCCTGATGACCTGAGTTTGATCCCTAGAACCCATATGTTAGGAAAGAGCTGACTCCTCCAAATTGTCCTCTGACCTCCACATACACACTATTATATTCTCCCCTACACACACACAAACACACACACACACACACACACACACACAAAATAAATGTTTTTTTAAAAGGTGAGGAACCTGAGGCATGAAGACACAGTGACATGGCTCTCACAAGTAGCCAAATGTGGAAAATAGTTCTCTGCTTGTACCCTAAAACTATGACAACCTGTTTCTTACTACTGTTCTCTTCTTGTCAGCCTGAACTTGCTGACAACCTTCATGGAAGGACAAGTACAGTCTACAAGGACATCATTCTCCAGTGAGTCGTACCAACTGCTGGCGGTCCCCTTCTAAGGGAAAATTTTAGCCTTATCATAATCAGTGAAATATGTAGGGCTGTGATATTTCCATAAGAAATCTTAAAAAAAATTATGTCCTAGGGCTGGAGAAATGGAGCAGCTGTTAAGAGCACTGGTTGTTCATGCAAAGGACCCTATTCCCAGCACCCATACAGCACCTAACCATCATCTGTAACTCCAGTTCCAGGGTTCTGATGCCCTCTTCTGACCTCTGTGGGCATTGCATGACATGGGTGTAGTTACATATATTTAGGCATACACTCATACACATAAAATAAAAATAATATTTTTTTAAAAAGTGTCCTGGTGCTAAGCATGGTAGCACACACTTTTAATCCCAGCACTCTGGAGGTACTCAGAGGCAGGTGTATCTCTATGAGATCGAGGCCAGCCTGGCCTACATAGTGAGTGGGCTGGAGCTATGGGAGACCCTGCCAATAAATAAATAAATAAATAAATAATAAATAAATAAATAAATAAATGTATGTTTCCTATTTAAGTCTCCCTAAGTGTTCTTGTCCTGTATCTTTGCACTGTGTTCACTTCTTCCAGACTCTTGGTCCCCAAATTATACCACAGGTATTTTATAGAGTATGTGGAGTTAGAGCTGTCAACACAGCTTCTAGTCTATGAGTCCACGAAAATGAATGACACTGGACCTTGCAATCTTCCTCCAGGGCCACCTTCCCTCAGCAGAGGGTACCTACTGCTCACCCACCCATTGGGGGAGACCAGCCACCCACACAGCTGGTCAGAACCTGAGTCATCACCAAGCTAAAGGAGGAGGCAGCCTCTCTGTGCTCCTCATATTCTGTTCCTATACCTCTCACCCTAGCACTTCTTTAGCAATCCTATGGCATATGGGATTCAGTCCAGATCTTCCCTCTGCAGAAACAGAGCCATGAATCCCTACAACTGCTTATGTTGTTTAGCCTAATTACAGTCCACTGGACCTGGCTCAGCTCTCCATATTATTTTGTTCCTGACCATTGTAGGAAAGGACAAGCTAAAACAAAAATAGCATTGAGTAAAAAACCAAAAGCAAAAACTTATGGGAAGAGCTTTTTGACTTTTATCACCTCTGAAGAAGTATATTTCCTCTGCCACATAGTACAGCCTACAGCTACAGCTGCTCTAATGCCTCCTTCTTAGGCCTAGAAAGAGACTTGGGGGAAGAAAATGCTTAAGAACAAGATAGCTTGCAAAAAAAAAAAAAAAAGACTTTCCCACAGAGGCTGAATGGCAATTCACATAACTATGTATATCCAAGAAACCAATTATAGAAACCCATAAAATTATGTGCATAAATTACCATCAGTTGAATTTAATACCCAGCACAAGAATAGTATAACATTTAAACCTGAAAACTGCCTCAGGTTTCAATGAGCTTTCAATCAAGAAAGACTGTCCAAGAATTCTCATTCCTGAGCAATGGATTTCTGGTTCCCAGTGGCCTTTGGGGAACTGCAGTAGAGGCCTAGGATTCCTGCCCATGGATAGAAATCTACACTCGGATTCCCACAACTTCCTGTCAACTGCAGACAGGAGGAAAAAGGAAAGGCAAATGAGTGAGAAGGGGATTTCCCTGTAAGGAAACATGTTACAGTGTTGAAATATCTCCACACCAAGTAATGGAGAGCTACTGCCCCAAAACCCCAGTGCCTTCCATTGCCCCAGCTGGTTGAGCTATCCCTCTGTCCCACATGACACAGGACACATGACAAGGACCAAAAGGGACTCTAACCACCCGCCTCAGAGACTCTGTAGCTCTTCTGGTTACGAGAGGGTATCAACATTAAACTAATTTAGTAGTGTTAAATATTGTTTAATTCATGTTTCAATGCTAAGGATAAGCCAGATCCAAATGAAAGGAATGATTCAAAGCAGGGGACAGATGAGCCATGGCTGTAGAGCCATAACACCTGACACAGGAATCAACACTCTTTCAAAGATAGCAAAAGTCTAAAACATTTTACTTGAAGTAAAAATGGATAAAATAGCAAACCTAATCCCCCCAAACCCTAGGATGGCCTCCCACAATCTGGCATTGCTCTGACTGGAATGGGCCTGAAGCCAGGGGCAAAAGTGGGTCTCTTCACGTGTGCTTAACATCCCACTCTGCACAGCTCAGTTCGAGGATTTCCCATCTTCATCAGCAACCACATGTGAGCAAAGACCCGAAAGGCAACAAGGTTTTCATTCCAGAAGGCTCACATCACTCTGACTTCACCTTAATCTTCAATAAAGGGTCCACAGAAACTGGGGTGTTCAGTTCTGCCTGCCTTGTCTCTACAAAGCATACTTCTGTTTCTCTTTCATTAAAAAGTATCTCTCCTTCCCCTGGTTTCTGTTCAGTGCCTTATGGAGTCTTTCCATTTATATGTAACAAGACCAATTGTGTCAAAACATCCATTCTGTTCCCAAGTCTCTCAGTGTCCAGCAATTCCCACAGACTATGCATCCTCCTGTACCCAGGGACCTGCTTGCAAGCAACTATCCTACCCATCAGCTACTACAGGGAAGGGGATTCAGAATAGGGACCTCCCACTAGAGGGACATAGTCACGTCTGATATGAGATTCCTAGGACAGGGAAGGTAAGAATTGAGGGAGGGAAAAGCTGTTACCAGAAACAAAAGACGACAAAAGCCAAGGCACAAGAAATTGCAGCACCATGCTAAAGAAAGCAGCCTACCCCCATTGAAGACTATGGCATTTCTGGAGTTAGGGGAGGCCTGGCAGGAAAGCCAGGCAGAGGTAGAGTCTGTGACTCTGGGAGACACAGTGAAGCACTAAGTTACACAATGTCTGCAGGATGGTAGATTGAAGGGGATGTGAAGGAATCTTACTTTGGGATGATTAACCTACTGTGATTAGTTCACATTTTTTTTTTATCCATTAGCAAATATTTACTTAACATCTCCTTTAGGCCAAGCATAACATTTTTTTCAATATGAATATGCATAAGCTTCCCTAATAAAATCCCTGTTTTGTTGTTTATAGTGATAGGACTTTAGAACTTATCACCAGTACTCTCCTTACTTGTACAAGTAACAAACCTTTCTTAATTATTTTATTGTCTTATGTTTCTTAGCTTTGTACTCAGGAAAGGGTGACCCCATTGTGCTCTGTTACAGATTGAAACACTGTTGCTATTATATGTATTGTAAATAGAATGGTCCCCTCCAAAATACTACAAATGAAGTCATTACCTACTGTGATCATCCACATGAAAATTTTAAAACCTATTTGCATGTTGCTTTAAAAAATTCAAACTAGGGGCTGGAGAGATGGCTCTGTGGTTAAGAGCACTGACTGCTCTTGCAGAGGACTCAGGTTCAGTTCTTAGCACCCACATGCCACCATGAGTTATCACACCATCCCTAAATCCAGTTCCAGGGGATCTGATGCCCTCTGCTGGCCTCTGCAGACATTGCACAACATGGGTACACATAAACATGCAAGCAAAACTTACTCATACACATAAAATAAAAATTAATAAATCAGCCACATCTTGTTCTCCTTCTAGCCATGAGTTCAGGCCCACTTTTGCTCTTAGCACCCCAGATCTCTGCCCTACCCTCTTAGTCTGGACCTACCCATTGCATCCTGATCTCCTGTGTTGAGACCAGCTCAATTTTTCAGTCTAGTTTCTTAGAGCTTTCACGGGTTGTTCCCACCCTCAACTTGCCTTTGCACGCCTGAGACCAGCCTTCTACCCTGGCTGCCCCACCCCCAAGTTGATTTGAATTTCCCAGACCAGCCTTCCCTGGTGAATCTGATCCTGCCCACTGGGCCTTAACTTCCCTACAGCCTGAACAACTCCAATCTCCCCAACCCCACATCCTGTTCTCCTAGCCTTGGGCACAGGATGGCTTTTGCTCTCAGCACCCCAGATCTCTGGACTACCCTCTTAGCTC